CTCTGTTCCTCGTGATCTTCAACTTAAGCACGACCTTGTCCTCACTGTTTCTGTTATAGATATGATGATCCAGGTCTTGCTTTGCATTACGGAACAATGTTGAGGGAGTGTATTCGCCATCAAGTTGTTGCAAGGTAAGCAACGCTGTGAACACCGTTAATATGTTAATTGGAAGTTGCGATGATCAATGGTCTGTTTTGTGTTATTATTGACTCCTAGGTTCCTTCTTACTTCACCGATGAACAACAATGCTTTTTTGCTTTTTGTTTAAACCATCACTTCTTCTCGTGTTGTTATTATGTTCAACGTATGTTATTATTATTCTCTGATTGATCTTATATTGTTAGTTTTGTTAGTGTTTATGGGCAATTTTCCCATAATCTGTCGAAATATTTGCAGATATGTATTGAACTCCGAGCACATGAAAAAGTTTTTCGATCACATGCAAATCCCAGAATTTGATGTTGCTGCAGATGCTACAGCAACCTTTAAGGTTAATAATCACAAATCTGTGATGACATGATTTCTTGATCTGTTAACTATGCACTATTACCACTCGCCACATAATATTCGTCATACTGTTACTCTAACTTCGAATCTTCTTTTCCGTTTTGCAACTTATTGCAGGAGCTTATGACCAGGCATAAATCCACAGTTGCTGAATTTCTCTCTGAAAATTATGATTGGGTATGTTGTGATCCTCATTAGCCATTTGTAAGATTTTCTTATGCTAGTTCAATCGCACCAACTTCATCCTACGACGTACCAGTGTAACATGATCTCCAACTTTTTTTTTGGTTATAGTTCTTCGTTGAATTTAACGCAAAACTTTTGGAATCAGCAAACTATATTACCAGAAGACAAGCTATCAAGGTAAACTAGATGTCAAATTCTCATCTCAGTTTGATTTGGTGTTGGTTCCGCGGGCTTCATTGATTTTCTTTTACTTTGTATACATTTAAGTAATTTCTCTGCTTTATTTCATCACGATAAAAGTATTTTTCATGCTTATAAATAAGTTTTATCCGACCTCTTATCTATTTTACAGCTTTTGGGAGATATTTTACTTGATCGCTCAAATTCTGCTGTGATGACACGCTATGTCAGCTCGAAGGATAATCTAAGGATTTTGATGAATCTTTTGAGGGTATGTCATTCTACCAATGTACACCATAAGTTAGGACTTCTTTTCCCCTCGGAGCATTTTGCAACATCATACAAATTCTCCGAGTAATAAAGACAATGATGGAATAACTTCTTTCCATAATTTGATTCATGAGTTTATCTCTCGTCATTTGATTCTTTCGTGTCCATTTTCTCTATGTTTACTTGACACATTATTATACGACTTCAAGCTTGCTGCTACATTTCCTTCTCGATCTTTTCATGTTTCAGGAGGCTAGCAAGAACATTCAACTAGATGCATTTCATGTGTTTAAGGTAATCCTTCATAACATTCAATTACTAATTATCTGGTGTTCATGTATGGCGACTCCTCTTCACTTCTCTCTGCTTGTTCTTTTGTTCTGTTGACAGCTTTTCGTTGCCAATAGAAACAAGCCTACTGACATTGTCAACATAATCGTGGCCAATAGAAGCAAGCTTCTACGTTTCTTTGCAAGTTTCAGGATCGATAAAGGTACTAAAACTTTGCTTCAATCAACCAATAGAAACGTTGATATCATCTTCGTATGGGGAATGGTATATATAAATACAGAACATTGTTTGTTTGCAGAAGATGAACAATTCGAAGCAGATAAAGCTCAAGTTGTGAAAGAAATTGCAGAACTTGAAGCAAAAGGACCTCTTTTCTCAGGGGAACTGCATAAATTTCCCGGTACACCTACTGCTTCAGGAGAACTGTATAAGTTACCAACGACACCTCTCTCGAGACAAGTTACATAATTTCCCAAAACACAAGACTAACTACAAGCTCTGGAGAATCGAAAAAGCTTTAGTATACGAGTCATTGTTTTATGAATTATACTAAAATAAACGGTTTTTTTAAAAACTTTTCGAGTCTGATGATCAAAGAATTACTAATTGCAGTGGAGTATGTCATCTTTGCTCTGGTTATTTGAAAGAGCATCGATAAGAAACATGTTTTTTATGGTGTAAATCGAATATTTGTCAATTTTCTTTGTCTTAAACAACGTTATATATAACTTCTTACAGCCATGTTCCTGAGTTTGTTGGGCACTTACTTACATGCTTTATAGTACACTCATTTGCAGATTCCTGAGATTCATATTATCGATCTAGTAACTTGTTTGGGATTGAAGTGTAGTGATCGTTGTAAAGGTTTTGTATTTTAAAAGATTCAATTTTGAACTCATATGGGATTCTTGAGTAAGCCTACAAACAATATTTTTGATAGTTTAATACTAAAATAAAATTCCTAAAAAGATAAATTAATTTTTTCATCAAGTTGTATTAATTTAATAGATAATAACTTAAAATTTTATTTTTTAAAGGTCAATTGAGAACCACGTAGAATCGTATTAGTCTTTATTGAATTCTTTTACTACTATATTGAATATTTTTGTAACTTTAAAGAAATTTATCTTAATAAATAATGTTCTATCACTCTTATAACATATAAAAATTTGAAATTGAGATTAAACCCATATAAAACAACATAGATCCACAACCTTATCCACCCCACATTAGTTTTTTAAAAAGGAAAAAAGGACAAATATATCTCCGAACTATCGTAAATGATATGCAGATACCCTTCATCATACTTTTGGGACATTGGTGCCCCTGTTCCAAAAACTAGAGAACAAGTACCCTTTATACTAACGAATAAACATGTGTCATAATCTTATCCATCGATTCGGACATCAAATTGATGGATAAAATTATACCATGTGTCCCTATTTAGTCTTTCATTAGAGTGAAGGATATATAAACTCTAATTTTTGGACGGTAGGGGCACCAATATCTCAAAAATATGACAGAAGGTATTTACGTACCATTTATGATAATTCAGGATATATTTGTTCTTTTTCCTTTTAAAAAAAGGAAAAATAACTTAAATACACAACTATAAGTTTAGTATTCTTTAATTTTCCCTTTTTTAAAAAAAATATTACATAATTCCCTTTTTTTTAAATTTTGGTAAAAGTTTAGAGATACATAACCTTCTCTCTCCTATAACACACACTTCCCCAATATCATGCCTATTTTTTCTCCACTAAAACACTCAATCTTTTGAATCACTTTTTGAATTTTGAATTATTAATTTTAATTTAAAACGTTTCACAACATTTAATATGAAATTTTGAACTTCAAAATTCAAAAAATTTGAAATTTCTGAAAATAGAACCATTATTCTCTGGTTCTTCTTCTTCTTACTCCATCATCCGTCTATAGTTCTTCTTCTTCTTAATCCATCATCTGTTCTTATTTTCTTTTTTTTCTTCTTGTTCATTGCTATATTACATAAGCCGTCTCTAGGTCTTCTTTTTCTTCTTATTCCATCATCCTTTCTTTTTTTTTTTTTGTTCATTATCCTATTACATCATATTAATGGATCTTTTTACTAATAGAAAGATTAATGATTTGGACGATGAAAATTGGAAAGAAAATAGAAAAAAGTATTTGCATGATCCTATGAATGTTCGGAAGGATTCAAACAAAGATTTTGGCGAATCCTCTATATCAAAGGTTGACAAAATACACCAAAAAAAGAGAAAAGAAGCAGCAACCATTGTTGTTGAAATTAGTAAAAATTTTATTAAAGGAATCCCATATGTATCATGAATTTTTGAAAATTGTTATCATGTATCAGACAATAAGTTTAATAGATAAGTACTCAGTGTGTTAGTCGATGCATTGATATATGAATTAGATGTGTATCATATGATTTCCTATGTATCAAGAGTTTTTGAAAATTGTTATCATGTATTAGTCAATAAGTTTAATAACTGCGCCATCAAGTGTGTTTGCTAATACATATCGACTCTGTGTGTTATTGTGTTTAGACGATGCATTGATACATGAATTTGATGTGTATCATATTATTTTCTATGTATCACGAGTTTTTAAAAATTGTTATCATGTATCAGTCAACAAGTTTAATAACTGGATATTCATAAAAATGTCTTTAAACTAGATGATATAATCTTGAATTTTTAAAATTTGAAATTGTTATCCAATTTCCGGAAAGACCTCTCAGTTGAGGATTGGAGACTTGTCATGAAACTGAAGACCCTCTTTAAGATACAATGAGACAGGTTTTTGTAGCTTGTAAAGGGGTTGATTCTTGGTTCTCCAATAAGCTCCATCTTAGGGGCTTAGCAGTTCATTGAGCAATAAGTGGTGATTTGAGTGTAAACGAAGGAGGTCTGGACATAATGTTCATGCCACCTCAGAGACAGAAATGAGCAAAAGTGAAGAATGCAATTGTTGCTGCCTGCTGCAACTGATTTCTTTTGGTCGGTACTCCGAGCATTCTGTGTATGCTGTTTTTGGTACTGAAGTGAGATTTATGCCACATTGACCAATGTCAGAGTTGTACAGGGGCACAAAACGGCAACACATTTTTTCATAATACAGAGATGTAATATTGACTTTTTGATATATACCAAAAACCGTGCAAAAGATTATTGGTTGGTTATTTGTTGGCAAGTTTTTCATACAAATATCAAATTCAATTCTTTGTATAAAAAAAAATAAAAAATTACGTGCTGAATTAATGCTTATTAATGAATTGTTACCATAATTTAAGCTGATTTAAATAACAAATTTAAATGTTCCATTTTTTTCTCCTTTTAATCTTAACAGTTTTAAGTTACTGTGTATCATTTACCATGTATCACAACATACTAATGTATCACGCCACAACAATTTTAAGGAATTATTAGTAAATACTAAATTTGTCGGGACAGAATGTAATTATTGTATTACACTATGAGATTCCTTAAATTTATACTTTAAAAAACTCACTTCAACCAGCCCCGCCCCGGCCATCTCTCCGGGCTTTTATGGGTTGGATTATGTCACTATGATCCAGATTGATGGGCCTAATGAAAGAGCCCAATGAAAAACCCGTGTATGAACACAGTAGAAGAATCGTCATTTCTTCCAGATCTTCATACATTTTGTTTTCAATTCACAAAATCGGAAATTTTTGCTCAAACTTTGAATTCTGGATTTCTGTTATTTCTATGATTTTGAAGATTTTTGTGTAAATTGTTGTTAAGATCCCCAAAATCGAAATGGTTTTGTGCTACCCGTCATCTCCTTCAAAGTTTGCTGCTACATTGGCGTGTTTTTTTGGTGGTTCTGTTCTGTTTGCTTTTGGTGTACATCATTCTTATATCAATATTGCTCCTCAACAAGCTCGAACTAAAGCTCGGAATGACTTTGTCAAGGATCGATTGAGAAAGAAATATGGCAAATAATTCATGGTAATTACCAATAGCATTTCCGAATTGGTCATACTTTGTTTTTTTGGTTTAATTTAAGGTACCATTTCATTGGATTATTTGTAGTGATATTGTGTTCATGAAGTTAACGGAAAGAAATGATTTAAACCAAACTAAGCAACTAACTTTTTGGTATGTGCTTCATTGATGATCCTCAGCTGTTCTGTAGTACTCCTACACATTACGCGATGAAGAATAAATTTGGAAAGCGTATGATTAACTATGTGATACAATAAGCTTGATTTTTACGAATGAGCTTAAGATCATGAAGAACTTCTCGTGTTGTTTGTAATGTAGGCTGTCAGATAGATAGAATTATGTGGTCTAGTGTGATGTGATTCCAATGGCGCAAAAAAGAAAATCCCTTCAACACAAACTCCCCACACTTCCATTTTTGCTACCATTCAGCCCTGCAACGTTGCATTTTTGTCAGAAAATCTTGATATATGCAGTGTCGTCTCGTTTAACTTTGTCAACAGCTTAGCGTATGGCAACAAAGATATAGCTAGCTAGCATTGTTGTTTTGTGATCTGCTGGTGGAGTGTATGTACGTCACCACATACCTCTACTTATTAAGGTGTATCGATGACCAGCAATATATTTAAGTTAACAAATGTGGATGGTTGCAGGAGGTGGTACAGTTGTTAGAGATCGTGATGGTCTTTGGTTCTTTCTATGGCATTTGCAGTAATGGTAGATAGCAGAAGCTAAGGATTGGCATTGCTAATTTGGGTGTTACAGACAAAGAGCACATTGTTGTCTTCAGTGAAGCAAGAGCAGGATCGAATATGACTAATACACCAAACCCTGTTTGTGGTACTCAGTGAACTTTGTGCTAACTTTACTCTTTTGTTCTATATGGAAAATGAAAGATGTATCGCTGTGTAGACTCTGTATTTGATGCAAATGAACTGTGCTATACCTAAAACCATTTGTATTACGTGCCTTGGAGGCTAAGGTGTATGTCTATGGTGCATCCTTTGATTAAAGAAAATGTGGATGCGTAAGCTATGCACATTTTTTATATCAAGTAAATGTACCATGAATTTACTAACGTTGCATTTGACTGTTCATGTTTCAGCTTGCAAATTTCTGTCATTGAAGTTGTAACACAGAATAACCATCTGATGCAAAACCTTAATGAGGATTTGCTGGCAAAATTGAGACCATTATAGTCATTAGGTCTGCAACATTTATTTGCAATTTTATATTACATGAATAGAATATAAAAAGGCTGTGTATGAAAAATACTAACTAAATTGATCATTGCTTATATCCAAAACAGAATTCTTACAAATAAATAGGCAATAAACCCCAGACACCCACTCAATCTGACCCAAAATGGAAAAAAAAAGGGGAGGGAAGGAATGAAAAATAGAAACGAGGAAGAATGTAAAGAATAAACAAGAGCTGAAAATTTTGATACATCGCAAATACAAGGAAACAATCATGTGTTAAATGAGCTGACTACCGCCGCCATCATGTGCGACTCCATAATCACCAGAGGGAGGTTTGATCAGTAAGATGGCAAAACAAATTGTACAAAATGGTGGCACCAAAGTAGAAATGGTCATCAATATACCATGAAAATTGCTAGAAGAACTGCAACTGAGCTCATGAGAATGCTAGCAACAACTGAGGATTGGCCATTTGGAGGAGTAGTGGGAGCTCTAGCTGTAGAACCATCGTCGTTACTTGGGTTTATCTTTGCAACAGGTGGAAGTGGTGGCTCAGTCACATCACTTACATCGAGCACGGGGCTGGGAGGTTCGACTGGTGGCATAGACTGAACAGTCATGAGTCCCAGGAGACTCCCAGGTTGAACAGGGCTCATATATGGTGGCAAGTTTTTGTATGCTAAACAACGGTTCCCTGTACATTCCCAACAATTGGAATGTGTCAAATTGAGGATATATAGTACTAATGTTGCATTTCGCACGAACAACTTAATGGATATGACCAAGCAAATGCTCTGGTAAAATATACACAAATCTAGCAGATTACACCGGAGATTCATTTATACTGATGTTTGAGGATGATAGATCGAGAAACTAAAAGAGAAAGAAAGGGGAAAGGGGGAAGATTGGAACACGGTATGAGAGACAACAAAGGTATATAATAACTTACTTCGGTATCTAGCCGCTGTCCCAGGGTATTCTGTAACAAGACCATCAACACCAGCTCCAAGAACATAGTTGTTTATCTCAGTAGACGAATCTGAGAAGAAGTCCCATGCTTGAGATATAAACTCGTTATTAAATAGTCGTACATATACCGGGAGATTTGCTGACTGCAGCTTCTGCACAATATTCGTTTGACCAATGATAAAAGCGTCTTCACTGGGGAAGACTGATTTCTTGGTTATGACAACAGATTTTGCAAAGGTCTTGATCTCCAATATAGTTGAGTTCTTAATATCACTGATATTATCGTCAACCAAATAAACAAGTTCATAACTACTCTTCTTGAATTCTTCCAGAACAGAACTGTCATTTGATTGGATCATAACTTTCCTAGCTGTCTGATTATTGTAACCAGCTGTGCTTAGGGCATCCAAAACCGCATCAGTTACACCTAATCCCTGCTTTGCCAGGTATGCAGCATTCTGCATGAAGCCAGAATATTGTGTCAAATATTGAGGAAGGAGGTAAAACCTCCAGTGTGCAAAGATATCCATTAAAATCAGGATTTTTCCCGTGTAAGCATTTAAAAAAAATGTCGCTACTTTGACTGTTCTTTCCTCTCTTTTTTTGTGATGTCAAAGTTCTTATTGTTTTGCTTATAATCCTTTATTCCTTTCAACATTGAGTGGGTAATTCTTCATTTCAGTAATGGAAATAGAATTATTATGATTCTACTACTAAAAAGGAAGTCATTATTGTACTTGGAAAGCAGTTAAAATTGCTTAGTTGTAACTTGTAGAGAATATTTCAGAAAATTGGAGATATTGAGATCCTTTATATACTTGCAGACGATTAAACCTTTAAAATACTAGTCATAAAGTGAATCCTTTCCTTTTGAAAATATACAGACCATTTTCCAAAAGCATTTTCTGGTTCCAAATTCTTTCAAGGGAAAGTTTGGCATGCTTCCCACATTCAATCACCTATGAAATAGCATAAGAAGCTATGAAATTTGCACTTAGAATGAGGAGTGATAAGGAGTGAGTATATAACTTATAAGCATTTAGGATTCGGAAATGAGCTTACACTATATTGATGCATAAGAATATAGGTATAAATAAGGTCAGTAGTCCCTGAAGAAACTCACCTCTATGCTGATCATTATACCAGAAACATTAGCAGTTTTGGAAAATGTCAAGAAGTCTGCTAACGACATAAACTTTCCAACATTTCTGGCCTTTGGATTCCGTGACAATCTAAAGTCTGAATACCGGGTTGATATTACCGCTGCAAGACATTAGAGCATGTTTAAATGCATTTTGAAACAATAGTATTCCGAAATTTCAATTGAAGTAGTGCATAATCTTGCAATGACAAATAATTAGAAGAAAAGTAAGCATTGCAGAAATGTCCATACAAGAAATGAAGGTCTCTAGAAAATTCGAGAACATGTCTTAAAAGAGCTTGCGGAAAGTGTATGCCACAAAAGCATGTCAAAGTGGAAAAAAGAGGCTATTATTAAGCCAAATAAAATTCCAGTTTTCGAAATTATTTCACACATTTCAAAAACATTCTTAATGAGGAAGGAGAACTGGGATGATGAATTCCTAGAACATTGCTCCTCTTTAAGAGCTTATATCTGCATTTCAAAAAAATTAACAAGCTAAAAGATAAATAGCTAAAAACTTAAATTAATCCCTGAATTTGTTATATGTGCAAAGATAAATGCATCACAGTACAGAAGTCCCAGATATGAAGAAGATAAAAAAACACAATACAGATAATTCAACTTACGTTTCAGCGTTTGAATATCGCTCCAGTTTAGGTTGATGGTGAGTATTCCATCTGTTATCTGAAGCTCTGGAGCAGTGGTAGCGATGTCGCTGAATGGCGATTGGGCCGCAGTCGTCGTGTCTATCAGATTTATCGAACTAAGGCAGAAGGGTATTCCATCTTTTGTCATTTGGACAGGACAGCCAATAATATCTGCACCATCGGAAGCAGCTTTTGTATATGCTAAATCTGTACAACCAGGATAGTCACCACTTGCTCCTTGAGGTGCGATAATCTGAAGAGTTACTGCAGGCCAAAGGAGGAAGAGAGAACAAGAGAGTGAACATCGATAATCAGTATGCCATCATTTGGTGAACTAGTTATGCATGGATATCTTAGAGTGAACTGTTATATGCTGAACGATAACAGAGATTTTTGTGCAGGGGACGCCTACTATAAGGTATATCATCATTAGTTACTGACATCTAGGTATTGCTAATTGTAATATATTTCCGCATTGTACTGCAGTAAAACAATACATAATTTATGTCCGTATAAATAACACATAGTTTAACATGGAATGTCGCATGTGAACAAGGGACAGGGTAAAGCTCATTTACTTAGAAAGTTACGTAAATCAAATTCAAGGTTTCAATTTTATGAAAATTAGTTGACTCCATGTTCAATTCATTTTAAACAAGTGTGAGAATTTGAAAGCTTTGCAAGATAACTTGCATTGTCAAGATTTCAATGAAAATGTCTAAACATATTAAACAACATAAATTATTCTGGAAAAGTGTGTATATCAACAGCATACCTTGAGGCTTATCATTCGCACCCAAATGCGAGAAGCAATCTGCGAGATTAGAAATGGATAAGTACCATAGAAAGATTAAGAGAAACTATGAGAGCAGTAAACAAAGCTTATACTAGCACACTCTCAATACAGAATCAAAATAGACTGTCACTTACCTACTGACGCAGATGGAGACATTGGGAAGTCAGATAACACTCCGTCCACCGAGAACTCACCGTTGTCTATAAAGGATAAATACTCAGCTACAGGATCATAGCTATAATTATAAGCAAATGGTACATCATTAACAAAGTCGGCTGCATAAATCTCAAGTCCTTCCTTATGAGCGTCCGAAACAACCGATGTATGTGGCTGCAAGTACAAGCTGCTGTCCGTTGGCCAGATATAGTGTTTGGGAACAAGAATCCCAGCGGCAAAGGTTTTAACAAATGTGAGATTCTTCACTAGAGAACCATATGTTTGACTTGTTGATGGCTCAATATCATCTTCGTTGAGAAACCGGAAAACGCGCTTTGTCACTCGTGGATTCAATCGCGATGCGATACTTCGCAGGAAATTCACCTCAGGTGATGAAATATAGTTGGCAATAACACTTCTAGATAGGGAAACAACAAAGCTTCTCATACTCAGATTGTGCTGGCTGTAGAAGGAATCATGCTGGAAATGTATTTACAGAAGAATGAGTTAAATAATTGTTAGGCCTACACAAACTTAACATACCACACATCAAATGCAGCAACGCATGGTATGATAATTAAACTGTTCCTCTTAGATTCTTAGAGATTGAAAAACTGAAAGTAGGCAACAAGTAAGTACCAAAAGCATACTGTAACCAAATGCATACCTGGATATTCAACCATAATCCTGGAGGTTTGACTTGGGTAGCTACATCCTGGACAGTAAGAATTTGCTGGGGAGTGCCATCAAATCTAGGCGACCGCGAATACACTCCTTGTTTCACTGTTCCAGGCATCAGGATTAATCTCTTTTTAGTAGAATTTCAGATCACCAGAGGCTAACTTTCATCAAGCCATAACAATAAGTCCAACTCTAATGAGAGATTCTCTAGACTATACCAGCAACATGTTTTGGCATAAGCATATATGATCTATTTGGGTCCTAAGGAAATGCACAGGGCAACTCATTTTCTAAGGTGATCTGATTCTACATTTTTTAAAAACATAAAATAAGATAGTGGTTGAGGGAGGAGAAAATTTTTTATGACAAAATATATTTCTCCCTCCGTCCCATTTTATGTGAGGTAGTTTGACTCAGCACAAAGTTTAAGAAAGAAAGGATGACTTTCGAAACTTGTGGTCTAAAATGAAAAATAGAAATTTGTTTAGCTATTTTTCATT